TAAACTATTTATTATTTAGTATCGTTAACATGGAATATATATAAAGACATATTAACTATATACATTAAGATATAATGACTACTCAATTAAACATTGAAGACCGGACCTAACACTGGATGAAATTAAAGTGCAGATGGCAATCTTTCAGGCGCTTTACGAAAAGAAAAGGAGAAGAGAAGACCCTGAATATGCACAAAAGTTGAGGGACAGAGACCGCCTCAGACAACAAAAGAAGAGATAAGAACGGGGTGTTCCAAAAAGGATACCTGTCACCAACAGTGAAACGAGGCAAATACTGATGGTGGTTCCAAAATGATTTTACTATTAAAAAATATTAACTTATTTGTTATTTTTATTTGTTGGATATGCTGAACCAGAAGCAGAAGCGCTACTACTTCTTCTACTTGATGAGCTTGATGATGTAGGTATTGGTAAATCTGTTGGATGTGCTACCATGGGTGGATTGTGTGATGAACTGCTTGATGAAACATTTACTACTGAATGTGGTGGAGAACTATGGACACTCACTGCAGGTGAAGAATGCACGCTTATAACTTCCTCTTCATTATCATTGTAATTTTCCCCTGCTTGTGTCAAATAATCAATCGCTGACAATAAAGCACTGCCACCCATCATAGCTGTATTTCCTGCTACTTCTGCCAATCTAAAAACCCATCTTTAATTTCCCTCTATGCCTTTTGAAACATCAGCCTTCACTGTCACTGCTACTACTGCTAGGGTTTTCAATCATTTTTGTAAAAGCTTCTACCATCTTATCACTTCTTGATGGCTCAAAATCACTACTTGATGGCTCTAAACTTTTGAAGTTCTTTGAACTCATCTTCACAATATAGTTTCCTATTATCCGGTTTAATTTATCTACTGTTTCAGTCTCTTTGTCAAACGTAATTTTCTTATCGGTTTGCGTTTGTTTGTTCTCTATCTCTGGGAATTGTGTTGCCTCATCTTCAGATTCTATCTCATTACTTCGTTCTCTTCTTTCTGTTGGCTTATTTAAAAATAATGTAAGTATTCATCATCATCTATTATATGTATTTCTTCAGTCTATTGTGTACTAAAATCATGATTAATAATAATTAGATTCTATTCTTAATTATGCCATTTCACTTCCCCTTGCGCTGTGTCTGTTTCTGTATTCTTTAATTTTGCTTTTCAATAGTTCTGATTCAATTCTTCTTTGCCATACACCGGTTTGCATCATATCAACATCTACATAATATTGCTTTGTTGTTTTGCCTCCTCCTTTGCCTTTTGCTCTTGTTGGTAGTTCATTCTCTGGGTCATCTACATCAAAGCCTCTCAAAAACAATTGAAATTTCAATGCTTCTGCGCTCATAGTTCCTACATTTAATCTATAGCTAATGGTTCTTAATACTGCTTGTTTGGGTTCAGGGGCTTCGCGTTCTTCTCTTGCTGTCATCATTTCTACTTCATCTTCTGCTCGTTGGTTGTCTTGTGTTAAATCAATTGCTAATTGTGGCACCGGTTGAGCCATTGGCGTTCCTACTCTGCTACTTGTTCTACTCAATCCACCAAATATCATATCAATAACAGGTGTGGCGCTCCTACTTAATAAACTTTGGTGTGCTTGTCCTTGTTGTTTTCTCTCCTGTGCCATTCTGGCTCTTTCTTGTAGTTGTGCTTGAATGGATGCATTATTAACGTTGTCATCTCTTGGCGTCTCTGCTTCTATTGGGGTTGTGTCTCTACTCTGTTGCCTCATCCTTTCAACATGAACTGTTCCACCTCCTAAATTGTGTCTCAATAATAGTTCTCTCATCTGTCTCTCTTGTATTCTGTTTTTTTGTTCCTTCAATACTTCAAATGCCATCAAAAAAGCTACCTTCAGGACTTGCTTTAAAAAATGTAGCCCTTCTGTCTGGAAGGCTTCCAGTTAATGTTTCATTTTCTCCTATCAACCCTGCTATTTCATCATATGTTGGTCGCCTCTTCAATTCATACTTTGAATAAGGATTTATCATTTCCAATGCCATAGTTGCCATATATTAATATGTTAGGTAAACATGTTAATATATTTATGCAAAAAAATAGGCCTTTAGGTTGCTTAATGCTGTGTTCTTTTGTGTTGTGCGGTAGGTTGTCTCTTTGGACTTCACCTCTCAACCTGTCCAGTTCATTTTGGTACTTTGACCTAGCATTTGCTTGTATCATGTCCTTTCTTAATGCTACCATGCCCTCTCTTGCATTTCTTAACTTAAGTTCCTTGTGTAAATGCTCCAGATAACTTGTATCTCTCATATCAAATGGACTAAAAATTATTAAAAATTTGTGAAGATGTGCTTTAGTGCCTGTTTTGTTGTTGTGTTTATGATACTTAAACATTATTAATATATTTTGTTTTAGACAAATATATTAATAATGTAGACTTATTACTTTAATCGTATACCACAGACCCGCGTTCGCAAATTTCTAACACGCTTGCACTAATAAGGTGGGTAAAAACCTCTTGAATGTCTTCAGCATAAATTGCGTTAGTGCTATCACCGGGTGTAGTGTTTAGAGTTCCTTCAGTAGGGCGGATTTTCATAGTCATTAAACTACCCATTTTTGTGTTAACTCCAGTAAAGTTGACGTCAGCCATCTTTTCAAATGACATACCAATAATAAATGTGTTTTCTCTGTATTGCCTGTAACTGAAAATCAATGCATCTTGGTCCGGGTTCATGTAATGTATGGCTCCTCGCAAATAGTAGAAGGTTTCTGCATGATAATGATTGTGCCTCAAACTCTGGATACTTTTTTGTTGCCTAACTGGATTTGCCATTATAAGTTTCTACCATAGTCTTGGAAACCTTTGCCTTGGTCTTGAGGATTTGCTACTGCTCCATTGTCCCAGATGAATGAGTTAATTTGAGAATTGTAAAAGTAGTTCCATCGCTTATGAACATAGTTGTCTGGCAAATAGTTAGCATTGATAGTTCCATTTCCTGGTGTTCTGTATAAAGTACTGAATGCTCCTGTGAGTTTGAATGATGACTTAACAATGTTCATATCCAATTCACCGCCTCCTGTGTTGAAGGTTTGTGTTAGTGTGTGATACATAGGAAAGACCAGTTTTAGTGACTCACCGTCCAACAAATGTTTTACTATGTTGTTATTAACAGTGTTGTCTAAAGTCATTACTTCAGCTCTGATAATAACATTGTTTAATTCCCACTGTGTAGAAGTGTTAGCTGCTTGAAAGTAATACCCCTGTTTGTCAGTTTGAGTGTTCGGGCTTCCTACTGCGCCTCCTTGTGGTTCTACAATAGGTACCAATTCATCATTAACAATTGCGAATTCTAATTCCAAAGGCGCATACCTCAAAGGTAAATAATAATTTGATTGCATCAACCCACAAACAGGCTTATGGCTGAATCGGGCTTTACCATTAGCGCCGGAAATTCTTGTCAATGAGTGTCTTGTATACTGTATATTTTATCTATTCTACCCCATTCATTTTTATCACCGTCAGGGGATACAGTTACTACACCGGGGGTTGGAGTAACACCAGCAGTAGTAGCCTGCAATAATACATCCAAACCATTACTGTAGCATAGTCATGAAAGTCAGCGTCCCATCTTGGGTTAGCTGACATCTCTATGTCATCCATGTCTCTAACATACAACTCACAGTGTCTATTGTATTCAACAATATTTCGATCCATTTGACCTCCTACTATTGCTCTGTATCGTTGAATAAAGGCATGTAAGCCTCCTAATGGACGTAAGAAATGGTGTCTTGTTCGATCGTTATTTTGCAAAGTTGCAAACAACCTTACTGAACTCAAATCCAAATAGGTATTATCCTCTCCTGAAATGTAAAACCTAATGTTTTTCGCCCCCGCATTCGCATTAAATACGTTTGTGGTGCTACTAAAATAGTTTACAAATCGCCTGTTTGTAACATATTGTGAAGTTTCAGGTAATCCAAAGTTCAGGTAATCCAGGTCACCAGCTTAAAAACAGACATCAAACGAAGCGGTATCCATTTAGGAGAAAGGATTTCTATGTTTTTTTCCTTCAGGGAGAGCTTTGGTAAGGATGAGTCTGGTTCTATGTTGTCCTTTTTATCCAGGTTCTTTTACAAAACTTGTGGTTTTTTACTTTAACATTTCAAGGTAAAAAAATCACAAGTTTGCGTCTGTATGTACTTTTTGATGATGCATGGTTTAAAAAAATATGAAGCATTGTTTTGCTTTGTGTGTGTCATGGTTTCGTGCAAATTACTTTTTTGTTAGGTCGATTTGCTTTGCTGGTCGTTTGTGGGAGTCTTATGGTTTTGCATGAAAAGTATGCTAAGGAGCCCTGGCGGCACATTGGTCTAAAAGTTCCCCACCACGGGCCCCCCCCTACATATGAAGTTTTCACGTGATGCGGCGATCCCGAGGATTCCAGCCCCTCACTTGCTAAAGCAAGGACAACTCCAGCTAGCTGGTGCTAGCTTTCGTGATGAACGCTTATTAAAACTCAAGGATTTCATTGCTGCTCCAAACAATTTTTCAAGCGGTTAGTGCACCAGCCCATGGGAAGTGAATAATATCAATTGTTTAGGGGGTGGGATTAATAAGCAAACTTGGAGCCCTAAGGGAAAAATAACTTTACTATTGTTCTGCTATTGCTGCCCTTTCAAATCCTTACTTATCTCTTCTACTACTACGACTGCTAGCACTACTAGTACTACTACTGCCACTACTGCTACTGCTACTGCTACTGCTGCTACTATATACTGCTACTCCTCCTCCTCCTACTGCTACGAATGCTAATATGTAATTGTTTTTTGTGGTGGGGATTCTATTGATACTCCCTCGGTTGTTTGCTAGGGGGAGGGGGGGCGGTTTTGCTAATTAAGACCCAACATTAAATGTCTTGTATACAGGAGTCCATTTATAAACAAATTCAAACAACTTCTTGGGGGATTGTGCCATCTACTCTCACTTCACTATATATATGGTTCGGCTGAATGTGCTTCCACGTTTCAAACATGATCTGCGTCATCTTCTCGCGGTATGCTTTTGGCGCCAAGGGTGGCTCTGTCAAAAGGACAGGGTTCTGTTCGGGAGCTAGGCGGAGCTCGTTGTAGAAAATGCGATGCCAAGTCTTCCTGTGGCGGCATGAACTGCGGGGTCCGTGGACTTCCAAAACATCCACACCATTCTACACCCATAGCGCTTTCAAAAGATGTCCAAAGCAAACCTATGAAGTGTAGCGTTGTCGATCGGTGTACACCTGGATCATTTCTGCACGTATTCCCTTCTGAAACTGGCCTGGGGAGTGGTGATATTTCACGACTCCCCATGGCACCTATCCTCTTCTGCATTTTGATCATCTTGAGCCCAAGCTTCTCAATTGCATCCCAGGTCTCCAACTCTCGCGCCGGCTCAGTGTGACAGGACAGCACCTCCGTTGCCTCTCCGTCGTCTTCCCCGACCGCGCAGAAGTGGCACACGCAGGTGCCAAGGTCAACCACCACCACCATGGGGCACAGCTCATGAGAATCTATATATAGCAAGTATAACACTACCAGAACACCAAAAGAGCACACCCAAACATTCCATGTCATTCTGAAATTGCAGGACAAACAACATCTATGCCCACTGACCCCTTTCCACTACCCCAAGGTAATTAGGTAAACATGCCGAACACGACCCCTGGTATGGCTTTTAGGGGGTGCGGCTCTCAATCTCACTCCAGGGCAGGCCCAAACAGGTGGCACGCACGACTAACAGGAGGCACTTTGCATGCTTCGCTTCCTCTTTTGCGCTGGCGAAGGCATCACCTCCCAAATCACCTCTCATGTTTCCTCTTTGGGGGGACGAATGAACATGGGGGGGGCCAATAGGGCGCTGTTTGGTTGCCAACATTTGAGCCATAAACTCTGCCCTGGGAGTCAAGTCGACTATAAAAAGAATAATCTTTAAGGGAACTGAAAGGACACTTCCTTTACTCCAGCCGGTCAAAATATAGTCTTTGGACTTCTAGGGTCTGCAAAGCACCAAATGTCCACCACAAATGGATGCTGCGAAAAGGCACCAGCAAAACATGCAAAACATGGCAACCTGGCAAAACTGTGTTTTTGGCTTTGGAATTCAATGACCTCTGCTCTGCTCGATGGAGCTAGACCGACATTTGATCCGCTGTTCCTTCGGTTCAGAGACTTTTAGGGAATGAAAAAGTCATCAAAGCTGGTCCGCAGCAACATCAAACACTGGTCCATGGTTCTGCAGTTGCATCTTTCTCCAAAGACTGATAAACCTTCCTTCCTTGGAATCCAACAATACCCTGACCGAAAATTTCACTCCCTTCACAAAGCCTACATCCTAAAGCATCTAAAACAAAACGGCTGCACTCAATTCTAGGACCTCTCTGCCCGGTCCAACTCATCCCTCATCCCTCTCAACTCGTCGTCTCCTGCGCCGAGGAGGACGAATCCCCAGGCTCCGCAAGTACTCGCGCTCCTGGCGGGAGCGCGCGTAGGCACGGCGAGCACGTTCCAGGATGTACAGCTCGTGCGCGTTCAACGAGCCGTGGCGGAAAAAACCAGGGTCTGATCCTATCCCCTGCCCCCCAAAAAAGGTTTTAAAGGCAAGGTTATCAGGTTATCCACTTTTCATGGGTATAGGATGGTATAGGTGGTAGGGCTGGAGTTTGTAACATCAACGATCCAACATCTTGGACCGGCCTGTGCGTTTGCAGCATACCGCTCTAAATGCTGTAGGATCTGTAGGGAAACATGATCTTCCAAGCGGCATGTAAACATCAGCAGGATTCAAGAGGAACATGAAGCATCATCGAATCAGACCTAAACATCAACAGGGTTCAAGAGGCACATGAAACATCATCAAACAGCTCTCGATATTCCACCCCATACCCAATGAGAATCACCCACGGCTGGAAAGAAGCAACAGCTGCACTTGTTTGGTATCTCGAGCTAGGCTCTCCCAAACAAACACATGGGGCGTAACAGTATTTGACACACCCCACCGTGGAAGGGGTACAGTAAGTGGCATTTGTCCTGCTCTGAGGATCTCAATCTTGAGGTTTTGGTTCTTGAGGCGTTGGGATGGGGCGAGGTTGGCCTCCACCTGCCGGGAACGCCAGAGAGATGGAGCATCTAAAATGATAAAGATTACCCAAGATCCCAGAAACTCGCAACCCCAAAACCGACTCCACCAGCGCAGACCGCGGTCTACCGCGCCGTCCGCGTCGACCGCGGACTGCCACGCGTTGGGTTCCCCTGCGCGGCGTGCAGCACGCTGCAGCAGCGCCTCCTTGGGCGTTGGGGTGTCAGTGGATGCACCGAGTGACCTCCCGACCTGCCTGTAGCTGCGACGTTTGAGACTTGTTGATGCTCTAAACAGGAAGCGACGAATGTGCCGCTTCTGATCCTGCTGATAGTGCTCCGTACCGGTCTCGTTGACTAAAATAAGTAGTATGGTCGATCCTTTCCCATTGCATGAGTGGGGTGCAGAAAGAAACATATGATCATATTTATGATTTATGACATCATTGGAACGAACTGACCTCCGGAATCCATGACACCATCCTTTGTAAACTGTGTATTTCAGCAAACCCGAAGTCACAAAGCACCTGCAATGCAATGGTTGGTGCTTAAAGCTTAAGCGGCATAATCGTGTTTTGGAAGGCCCCCCCATCGGCATACAGGCCTAGAAAGAGCTCAGCTTAAAAAAACAGCAAACAAACACAAGCTTGCAACAAAACTCTGTTCCTCCCTAATGTCGGCTGTTGATTGACAAAACCCACTCCTTATTAGTTGTCTAATATATTGTAAAACCATTCTGGTGTGGGGCTTTAAGGACGTTTATGGATCAACAGTCACCATTACTAATTATATACTAGTCTAAAGGCATCATTACAAAAACTTAAAGCATTTTAAAACCATTTAAAACCAATTGCGAAGCCGTCTCAATTGAAACAAAGGACACACCAGAAAAACAAAAAAACAACTTCTCTCGGTCCACATGCCCCGTGCGCCCAGCAGAACCTCCCCTGCGGCCGCGCAACCTCGCGCTTACGGCGCTGCCAGCGTTCCTAGGCTTAGTGGCTGATTTGGAAGCCGGGAAGGCAAGCTTTAGTAACTTAGTGGATTGAGAGTAGATGTGACAAGTTACCCGAAGTTTGGAGCTTTTGTATGCAAGCTCCCATCTAAAACACATCTTGCCAGTGCCATCTACTCTGCAACCACTGTAACAAAAACATCCTTTCCCAGTTTTGTTTGCTTAAATCACCCAAATCAACATCCATAAACAAAAATTACAATATTAAAAAGCAAAACTGTCATCACTCATGATTTTGTTTAATGCTTCTGTTTATCAACAAATCTCTCCGATCCGAAATAAGCCAAGGCTCCGTCATGAGCCGCTTGAGCCGTTCCTCGTGCGCCTCTTGCCGCTCGGCGCGGCCCCTCTCCTCGGGAATCGGCGAGCTCGGAGCGTTTGGGAGGCGGTCAGAAGGAGGGGAATCCAGCGAAGCTGGGTTTTGCTGTCCAGGAAGCCGGGAACAAATACAAATCCCTAGGGATCCAAGTACCTTCTCAGAAGGTGATTGGAGACACTGTTATGTAGGTTTGGAGGGTACTTGGATCCCTAGGGAATATCATCAAGTATCTTCCCCAGAAGGGGTAATGATTCACCCATATGATGGAAAATAGAACATCATCTTAAGCAAAACCAACGAAGTAAGTCCACACCTGGACCTTCCCACCGAACTTGAGGATTGGTAAGCGACCTTGTACAAACCTGACCCATAAGTGACCTCGGACGGTCTCTGGGAAGGTCCTAGCATGGGCCTGGGTGTGTAGTTTAATGGGGAGATCCCCAACCACTGGGTAGATTGGCAGACTGGTCGATTTTCCTTCCTCCAGGGTGTTGAACTGGGAGGTCTTCCTGTATTAGCACGCACGCACGCAATAGAGCCGGAAGATTGCAGTGGATGATTTTGGAAGAAAGCCAAGCAAGAAACATTAGGATGTCAAAATACTCGTTGATCAATAACTACATTTTGAGTTGATACTGGTGAGTTGATTGGTATTTATAGTATAGTCAGTATAGTATAGTATGCTTCATTGATGTACTTCATCGGAAATCTATGAATTCCTGCCGGCTTCTGGGGTTCATACGCTAAAAACCACTGGTAATCGAAAAGCAACCATGCAAACCGAAAGAGCACAGCTTTCCACGCTGTAAAATGCACACTAAACTAACCTTTCAATTTACTTCCCATCTAATATACAAATACAAGCTGTGCCGGCAGCATTCCCAAAACAGGAGCATATCAAAAGCACCATTTCTAAGCCAAGATCTCCGGCACATCCGGCACATGAACCAACACACCGCTTTCGGGGCCCTCCCCCCGCCCTACCGCCGTGCACCGGCCGAGCGACATCTTCCTCTAAGGCCCTCCTCAAGGAGGCGGTGACCTTCCGCCTGGGGAGACGGCGAGCGGCGAGCGGGGCGGTGCGGACATGGACGACCGATTCGCGGTTCGCGAACCGCTGGGGGATTTTGGGAGAAAACGGCATCGATCGAGAGCCACCCAAATCGTCATTGACTCTTATAGGGTATTGGTGAAGCCCACCATTTGGATTTAAGAACCTCTCCATATGGGGGGGCTTATGAATCAAAACTTCTATGATTTCTATTGATTTCTATGGTCATGTATGGTCCAGGTTTGTGTTTGTGCTGCCTCCATCGCCATGCGGTCTCTCCCGGTGTTTTTCCGCCGGGCCCAGCCTCCGCTTTCGCAAACGCGTCCGACAACGCTCCACGGGGTCTGGGAGCTCCTCCTCCTGATGGTTTCGTGCATGTGTGGTGTGAAACGTAAGCGGCCGCCCATTGAGCTTCAAAAAATGAAGGGGCTAGTGTGCGAATCAGGAGCTGCCATGGCCACTGTTTTGCAAGGCAAAGGCTGAGTGGCCTTGTAAGTGTTGATGTCCTGATGAGGAAGCAACCTGCGAATACATGCGGTGGTTTCTGAGTAATTAGATGGCACAAACCCCAAGATGTCTTTTGGATTGACCGGTATACAGTAAACCAACATGTGGACATGTCCACCATCTATATCATACTCTGAAAAACTCTGCACCCTCTCAACATGTCCAGTCCAATTCCACCAGTGCTGCATCCCGAACGATCTCCCGAAACATTGTTCCAACAACCGGTCGCACCTCCTCCTCTGGTCGCACAAACTCCTTGCACCGATGGTCGCCCAGTTGGATGGCCGTCTGAGTTGGCAGTGGTGGCTGTCAACCTGCATGAATTATACCTGGAACTGACCTGTCTATGCCCAATTTCTGCCTCACTTGGCTGTTTTTGATGACAAGGCGGAGTCCAAAACTATTGAACATGAATGTTGAAACCATGGTTGAACTGGACTTCTTAGGGTATACCCTACGCACCCAAACCCTACAAATTTCTGGGGTGTGTTTGAACACACCCGCTATAATCCGGATATATTCCACTGGAGACCAGGAACACTCAAATTTTGATGGGACTGGAACATGATGGACAATGATCCCTTGGATGACCATTTTCTGAATATCAACAGGTGGTTCTCCACTTTCATGAACATTTCAAGCAGGAGTTGCATGCACAATCATGAATGGCTTCTTTTCGCTCAGCTACTGCCCTCCGCATTTCTCCAAGTAAAGGAACATCTCCCCCAACGCAAAGGCGACATGTCTGGCCTGGCCGCATCAGGCCGGCCCCTGCATCTCTGCGGCCGGATGTCTGGCCTGGCCTTCACCCACCTGACGCCCCCCAGACCGCAACGCGGAAAATCCCGTCTCGGTAGGGTCGGGTAGCGCTCGCTCTCCTCCAGGTCACTGGCTAGCGCCATGGGTCGCCATGGGTAAGCGAGACAGTGAGGCGCGCGCGCCCAGCGCAAGTGGTGGAGACTCCAGAGGTGGAACAAGCCTATATATCCCAGTTGACTCACTGCCAGGTTGTTGGTTCAGGGCTTCAGGGTGGGGAAGGGCCCTAGACCTGTCGGAGAGCCCTGCTGGTATATGTACGTTGCTACTAGTAGCTAGACATTAACTAGACTACTAATAGACTCCCTGGGGTCACCATCTCCACGCATTCTTCTCTTTGTGCCTTCTGAAATCTCCTCTCATCACTCCTACCATCTATAGTCTATTTGTGGGAAGTGGGTGTGGCATGGGGGTCCTATCACCAGGATAGAAAAAGTTGAAGGTCACTATGGATGTTCAATGGGAGATGCTGATCACAATTCCAGGATAGAGTCGGATAGAAGGATCACCACCATAGGAAACATTGGGAAGCTTGAGCCATTTCAAGGTATCCGTGTTGGGTATATCAATCCCATTGCCGGGAAACATATATATATATATGTATATGTATATATAAATATATGAGCTTACTGAAGGATGGCCTTCACTCAGAAAAGCAAGAACACAATAATTCTAAAACAAAATAACTGATAATCAAGTGTTGCAAGCTATATACAGTTGTTTGCTGCGCTTCCCCCGCAGCATCTTGAAGCTATTCCAGCGCGACAGCTGCGATCGGCTAGGTTATAGCAATGCCACCGGCTACGCTCCCTGACTGTGGTGCACTCCCCGAAGTGACATAGACCATCAATGCACCCCCCAACAATGGAAGTGGCGTTCGCCACCTGTCCCAAGTTCCCTGTCCCCAGTTTGCTGCCCCCCAGTTCTCTGTCCCAGTTCAGAGAACCATCCTTTCAGAGCTATGCCATCCATTTCATCTAATCATTTCTATGATTTCAGGGAGTGTACCTCATCTGGAGCCTCACGGCCTGCACCATCCCTGGGGTGAGCGGGGGGGGCATTTGAGACTCCTCTTGCGCCAAACCGCAGGTCTTCCCTCATCAAGTCTGGTCATTGGAATCATTTGTATGTTCATTATTATATACCAGCACCCTCCAACAGGTCTCCGAAAACCACACCTTTCGGAGACCTGCTGTTGCAGGGTGCGGGAGAAGTGACCCGACAGGGCTGGGTCTTCAGTGACCCGACGAGCTGAGCGCGTAGATCGTGACGCCTCTTCCCATCCTCAGCGCGCCTGGCTGACCTTTCTTGCTCCAGCCCTCGGATGCCAAGGTCACGATCGACCCAGGATGTCCAGGACTCCATCCATTGTATTGCTCCTAGAGTCCTAGAGGTTTGACTCTAGAGGTTCAAACTGGCACCTCCTAGAGTCCATTGTATTGCTCCTTGAGATTCAATGCGGCAAGAGCCTTCAAACTGGCACCTCTCGCGCCTTGACTTCTTTTTTTCCGAGGGCTAAATAGCTCCAAGGAAGGTCTTTGATAAGATCTACAGTCGTGCGCCCTTTTTTTGGGCGCTCAAAACTGCTCCTTGGTGTGTACAAAACTTACACTCCCCCAAACTAACATAATGACACGTCGACAGCGAAAGCGACAGCACTTGTGCTGTCTTAGTCCTCACGATTATTTTTATCTTCTCTCTTGAAATCTGGCAGGATTGACTAGTGAAACACTAGGTTCTTCCGTTAAAGAAATCCTTAAATCCTCATAACATCTCATAACTCATAACCATCTTAAATCACTGGTGAAAGCAAGAAGACAAGAACACCTCATGTCTACATGTTGGACCTTCAAAGCCCAAAAGCTCTCTTTCTCTCTCCTGCTTGAACCCGTATCACATCGTATCACTACGACTAGCAAGTACTTGGGGAACTCCCTGTAGCTCCTCGGCTCCCTGTTCAATGAGGAATATGGATACCCCCAGCTCCTTGGCTCCCTTCTAAGCAACACCTACGTCGACAGTGTCCGGGAGTGAAAAGCTGCAACGACGACGTGGACGGAGACGTCAAACGACGTCGCTCATTCCTCCTCCGAGTCATCGTCGTCCTTGGCTGAAGGAACAACACCCAAACGAACACGTATATACGAGCCCCTATGAGATCCTGAAGTGACCCCAGGAAGGAACGGAGTAAAGTTGGGCCAACAAATGGCCAAAGAGAAGAACCAGATTCTTATGCTACAACAACAGCTTAAGGCAACATGTTATATACGCTGATGGATTCCGAAATGGTTTAAGGAATCTTCAAGAACTGCGAGAAATGAAAGGATCAATTTGGATGTCGCCGACCGTCACCTATTCAATGCTGGAATAACACATGAACGCGGGATCAAGAAAACCAGGTATCATCTTCATCCTTGGAGTCTGCCGCCTTCTTCGCCTCCTCTGCCTTGGCATCATCCTCTTCCTCAAGAATCACCCGCAGGCCTTTCCTAACTGCCTTCAAACACTGGATCATCCAATGTAGACCGTTACAGAATAACCACCCCTTACCAGCATGGTTTTACATCTGGAGTCTGGTCATCAACATGCAACTAGCGTCTCTTTTGGCAGGACGGACAATACAAATCTTGTTTGCTTTTTGCAAACGTCTGTGGATTCGGAGGCCCGGAGCGTGGAGTAAAGAAGGAGCGAAAACTCTTCCCCAAAGGGTTGGAATCGCACTCACACCCAATAATTAATTTGGGTTTGCATTTCAAGAGGATAACATGATAACTTGATAACCTGGGTTGCTTGCTTTCCTTCTTCCAGGGAGTCAGACGGTCAGACAGGGGGGGCGCTCCGGTCCTTCTTCTTGGCCTTCTCCACCTCACTCAAGGCCTTCCACTTCTGGAGGAACCTCAGCGTTTGGCTGGGTTCTTTTCAAGAGAAATGAAGTGAAGAAAGGACGCATACAAAAGCAGGATGAGGCTGGGTTTGATGAATGGTGATGGTGGTAATGGTGGTGATGGTGATACTACCGCTGGTTGTGGTGGTGGTGGTGGTAGTAGTAGTAGTAGCCGTAGTAGTAGTAGTAGTAGTAGTAGCAGTAGTAGTAGCAGTAGTAGCAGCAGCAGCAGTAGTAGTAGGCCTGAGTCTCAAAAACTTGCAGGGACAAAGACCTCAAGGTTTGGGACAGTTGGTGCACAAGCTACCCAGGAGGTGGTTTGCTTCAAATGATTGTGTCTTCCCTATGACATGAATATGTTGAATGAACCCCCTCCTGGGAAAAAAAAAAGCACGTTGTGTTGTACAGAATCTCTTGCAGCGCTTTCATTTCAATGTTTCATGAACTTCATGATGCACGCGGTGAATCCTGCCCGCTACCTCCTAGGAAATGATCGCTGATCCGAGGCACTTGTCTGCCTCTGCCACCTCGTCGGTGATGATGACGTTGTCGAAAATGGTATTCCCTTTGACCTGCTTGGGCGACAGAGCGAGGGAAAATTGAACACAAGCGAAAGCAGCGAAGAACGGTCTCCAGTGTGACATGTCCCTAGGCCTCCAAGTACCTTCTAAGAATTTGTTGGGGTGGGTTTGGAGGGTCCAAATACCTTCGGAGGAGGTACTTGGAGGTGTAGAGTGTGTGATCACCTGGTGGATTTCAAAACCTGCCAGCCTGGTCAAACGGGGTGTGCGGCCGACAGGGGGGTTTGGTGAGCGCTGGAGCGATGGTATCCCACCCCTTTGCGGTTGCCAAAACAGTTGACGAATGTGTCGCTGCTTCCAGGAGTCACAAAAGGATGCCTATTTGGAGGATAGGGGGTGCCCATAATTATTCACTCAGATGGGACGAGCCACACCACCCCGAGCTCTGTGACCCCCGGTTGATATTTCTCGATGACCGTCAACGACCGTCAAGACCTCCGTTTGCCGAGGAACAAACGTGGCGGTCTTTTTTGGCCTGAGGATCGAATAAAATTAAGCAAAACAAAGGGCAAAAGTAGCGGTTCCTCCTCTTACTCTTACTCTCCGCCTCTTCGCCACTAAAAACAACGCAAAATACGACTGTCCACAAGAAGAAGGAGCAGGAGGGGGAAGAATAATCCTATAACTCATATACAGTTACAATGTGCAAACAAGAAGTTGACAGTTTTCTCCTGCTCAACCTCCTCTTGCTCTCGCCTACCGAGACACAAGACCCGGCCACACCGAGCCTCAGGAACAAGCAAGCAACTACGATCAAGAAACCCATAGAATGCCAGTCAAATCAAACCCTTCAAGAAAAAACGGTCCCAGACTTGGTTTCACGGAACATTCTACAGGATTTTGCCAGCTTTCAGGTGTCCTGCCCTCGCGTCACCCACGGTTTCAAAAGGGCCCGGCCTGCCACAGATCAAATCCGATGAAGCCAAAGTCCTGGCAACTGGAACACCAAGCACGTTGATGGAAGGGACCAAGAGAGGTTAATTAAGTGACCTGAACTAGGACCCGTCACCTGGCGTACCTATATGGGATAGTCGAAGGGCGTCGGGTCCTGACCCACCTCTGTTGGGATGGATGGCCCTGAGTCTCCACACTGAAGCAGGGCGAACCCCAAAGGACCCAAACCCTTGGGCCCCGTCGCTTGGGAGTCGCCAACCCGAGCCGCTGCTCCCGACAGTCGGTCTCCGAACACCACACTGGAAGACGATCGAATGGACCCTGAAAACCACTGGTTTGCTAGAGGAAAACACTCTTCCAGGGGGCCAGGACGTCAGGGTCTAGGTTAGGAGTGTAACACAAAGTCTGGGCAAAATGAGTGTTAACACATTTGATGAGCGCGGCAGGTCCGAACAAATCTATCCAAGGGTTTAACCTATAACTTTAGAGGCTTAATACAGTAAATCCCCTCATGGAATCTATTTGGGGCTACTCGGGTCGAAGAGTATACCAAATTGAGGTATAGCTGACCGGTCACTTGAGGACTTTGATTCCACTATACTATACATCTTAAAACCACAGCGGTGGTCAGCCATGGAACGTAAGTCGGTACGGGTGATCATGGCCGGGCCATATCGACCAACACCTTGGCACCACATAGGTCTTTCTACAAGACCTCTCCTAGGTTGTCTCTCCTCTCCTGAGGTCTGGCCAAAAAAACACCACCTTGGCACGACATGGCCATCGCTCCTGATATTTGTAGAGGCTGTCGTCATCCACGAAGTCGGGGTTGGCGATCTTCTTGGCCTCCCAAATACCTGAGTTCCACCACCAGGTAGTCACTAGGCTGATCACATTGTCACAGGTTTGCATGAAGCTTCGGCCGTGCAAACCGCCATGTCTGGCCAAAAACAGGTTGTAATTCAATATGCAGTATATATATATATTCCCTAGCCTTCCAAGACCATTTAAAGAACGGTTGTAGTGCAAAAATCCTTAGTAAAACAATGGTTCTTTGGTAAAGACCATTAAAACAATGCTTGTTTGAATCCTAGGGTATATAATATACTATATATTTCATCTCTCCAACCAAATCACAACCCCAATAGAACAAACATGAACCAACTACATCAACTCGACATGAAAACAGGAACTCTTCTCATCGACCGACCGGATCGAAAACAGGTCGACCGCCCTTTTCAGTTCGTCCGTGGAGGTTCTCCACTTGGCAAAGGAGGCCAGTGACCCGACTAGGACCCGGAACACCTGGGGTATCCCGGTCCGCCGTCGGGAGAGTCGAAGGGCGTCGGGTGTTTCAACCTCTGGTGAACAGGAAAGGGCCACAGGCATCTCTGCTGATGTCTAGAAGTTCGATGAGAAGTCTGTTCTCAGTTCTGGGGGCAGCAGTTCTTAGAAGCCGGCCATGGTTCTGCGGAGTGGATCATCGTTTCTCTCCACTGCCGCTTGGGCCGGTCATGTCTATGTCTGGGTCTTCTAATTCCCTAAGGATTCAAGTACCCTCGTTTCGAAGGTGGGGCTGGGGTGGGTGCCATGTTCGGGTCCCAGTCATACCGAACCTGAGGAGGTAACCTCCTGGATCCCTAGGGATTAGCTTGGGGATTGTGCCATTGGTCCTCCCAATCCACTGTAATTATTGTAATTAGCTAGGACACCTTTGTAGGCTGGGTTGGAGATCCGCTTCACCGTCCACTCACCTCGGTCGTGCGCGGTCACAGCCACGTCCCGTCTCCGCTGCGACAGTGTGATGAACGGTGGGCGAACCGCGCGGAGCCAACGGTAGGACATGAGGGGTGGGTTGGTGGGTCGGTGGGTCCTTGGATTGATGTAAGGGACCCAGAAAAAAATCACGAATCTGGCTGAGAACCAGGGGGAAATCCACCAATCACCCATCATCACATATCATCACCCAAAAATAAGGCTATATTCAATCATATTCAATCTTGGCATTCACTAGGTGAAAGGAACCTCCGGCCTCCCAGCCATTTCACTTGATTTCACCTGGTCCTTTGTCACATACACAACTCACTCACCCATCCGTAGTCCACTCAATTTCACCTCATTGACATGGGGTCTTGTATAAAGACACTATAAAGACATCACCAAGGTCATGCACCACATCGAAAATTGTTCACATGCCTACTGCACCCAGCTCCATGTCGTTTCCCTGCTCCATGTCTCTCAAGCACAGCACCCGGACACCACAACACATCGCAAGTTGCTCGGGGTAAAGGAGGGACCTGACTCTTGGACCTCTATAAAACCACTAGATGGTCTCTGTAGCACAGGTTTCTAGGCCTGAAAGCATGGCCTATGCCTTATAGCTATAGGGGACCGGTCCGTCACTCTGGAATAGTGCATTGCATGGGCCAGGTCCGTTCCATCTCTGGCGGATTCGGGGTGTTTTCATCGTTCCAGGTCCGTGGTCCGTCGGTCATCGACCGTTCCTTCGGCCCGGTGGGGGGCACAGACCTCGCCGACCGGGGGCCGTTCTCGTGGTGGTTCGGAAGTCCAACACGGGGAAGTCGAAACGGGGAAGTCGAAACCAATGGGTGCGTCTGGAGACCTATAAGTAGGGTAGGGTTGTCCAGCCTGGCGACCTGGAAGCAGCTGGTATGAGTTGGTCTGGAAACCTATGAGTTGGTCAGCACGCTAGGGCAGCTAGGAGGTCCCTTTATACCAGGAGGTCCCTTGTACAACAATGCACCCTAGGAGTCAAGTCGACTCTAAAACGAATGGTCTGACTGGGGGGGCTGAAAGGGGAACTTCCGTTACTTCAGTCGGCCTAAAAATTGGCGAACTGGACTTCTAGGGTGTATATATCCAATCTTTCTAGCCAGGTGGCCCTTGTAGTCAGGGTTGTCGATCATGGGTGCTTCCCACTCGCCATCTTCCTCATCATCCCAATCCTTAGAAGCTGAAGAAACGGCACGTCAAAGAGCGTCTCGCTTGGCAGGGAAACGCCCAAAACGAGAAACTGCAAAGAGATTTGTTTGGACTTGGACGTAGGGCCCCCCCAAACAACTTTTTTAGTCAAGCAATGTTATGTTTGCTCGCGCCAGCGGTAAAAATCAGCCGCCAAATGCTGCTAAACAATCGCAACTAATCAAGCATTCAAAACACCAATTATCCTTAAGAGTCAGCCACTCCAACCAACACTCCAACCATGTGTAACCAACACTTCTTGCAAGGCTTGTTTCTTTCCTATTTGCTGAACGGAACGGTGCCTTTTATATCGTTTTGTTTGGTTTTTCGCATGGCGCTCCCTTTAATGGCTTGAATATATAATTGGTTTCTGCCGAAGCCGTCCGGTGAGGCTCGTCTGGCTTCTTGGCCTTGGAATCCACGATCCTTTTCTCCTCGACCCAATCTGCAGGCTTCTTGTCCTGAAGGGCCGCAACACGAGCAGCAAGAACCCCCCGCTTGCTGCCACCCCCAGAGGCAGCGGCCAGCCCCCGCGGCAAGAAGCAAAACATGGCCCCCGCGGCAAGAAGCAAAACATTTGGCAGCACCTCTGGGTCATCCATCATGCTATCATCTACCCAATCGCTGGGCTTCTTGTCGTCCGGATCTTTGATCTCTTTGGGAGCCAACAACTCCTCGGCTGGAATACGACGAGACATGAAGACGGACATGGAGACGCGAGGGGGTTTGATATGGGTTCTATATGTTAACTGTTGTTGTTATACTATTAATTGTATTATGTTGTGATATATCAACTTTGGTTTAGTTCAGAAATCGTTCCCGAATATCAACTTTGGTTTGTTCAAATTACATCTGGACTCTTTTCACAACAAATCCTGAGACAGTTCTGACAAACGTGACACCAAAAGAATAAAAAATCTTCTGAAGCAGCTGCAGCGGTCCCAATCCTCCTTCAAGGATCCTTCGTAGATCTTCTCCTTACTTGATCGTGCTACTTGACACGGCATACACGACCCACATGTTGGTTCCTGCATGCTCAAACAAACGACGGACGACAACCTTTCGGGACAGAAAGGACATCCTGGACGCTAGATCAGCTAGTCACCAGTCATCTTCCAACCAGTCATCTTCCATCATATTCAATCGAAGCCTTTACTATATAAGCGTCACCTTTCACGGTATAGCAACTGGTTTGAACCTGTTTATCTTGATGCAATATCGGCCTCAACCAGGTTACCCTATTTTCATGTGTTTTCTAAAAAGACACACTCCCTGCATCGGCTGGACGCACGAATCACTCCAAACAATCTCCCACCATCGATCTCTACTCAGGCTGAGTGTCACCATCGATCTCTACTCGGCAGGTGCTGTCCGGCTTGAGCACTAGCCTGTAGACATGGGAGGTGCCCTCACCTCAGCGCAGGCGCACGCGGCACCAAGCAATTGTGCCCTCACCTTCGTGCCAGTCACCCCCGCCTGTATGAAACAAAGCCAGACTTGAAAGAACTCCGCTGTGTGGCAGAGAAATGGCGGTGGGTCAAAACCCAGAGCCCTAAACCCCTTATTAGTGACTCCAGTGGTCTATTCTGTTCATTCTCTGCGCTCAGCCAGGGTCCCTGGCGCTTTGACCCAGCCAAATGGTGGACATGGTGGGAAAATCCACTGGTCTGTACTCCAACTGTTACGAGGCCTGTTTAAACCAGTTTCACAGAAACACCCTTCTTGCAAAGAACATAGAAGCACAGGATTGAGCATGGGTCATTTTGAATAGATCCGGCATGTCAGTCAGCAACGTCATTCTATATACCTACGTTGCATATCTTGATTGCTCATTGCCTCTCTCCATCACCTTCAGAATCGAAATCTCCTTTCTAGGCTTGGCGTCCAGAAAGAAGGCCAAGCAGGTTCGATTCAATGTCTTCATTGCTGCACTGCTTCTTTGTCATACTAGGATTCAATGTGTACATGCATTCCTGCACACTCAGCAAAATGCCCATTCATTCATGAACTCCCTCCACCTCAAGCACGTTTCCACAGGGTCTTCTCTGGCCTTTGCGAACCTCTTCTCCACCAAACAAGTAGTACCAGGGCACCCTCCTGCTTATAGGCTAAGTCGGACTTCTTCAACACGTTCTTGCCTTTGTAGTTGAAGATCAAGTGAGTACCTCGCAGTCTCGCCGTCCGTGCGCTCTGGCGTAGTAAGTCGCTTCTGTTGGATGGTCAGGACATGCATCCCACACCTTATGCTCTTCTGCCTTACATGTTCTTCAAAGCTCTTGACCCCTTCAAAAGAGAAATGCTCCTGAGTGCGTGTGGCAGGAGAGGGGGTTCTGCCAAAAAGTCTCGAACGCATCGTTCAAGCACACTGTTGAAGCCCAGCGACGCTTGGTGTAGCCGCACTTGTCGGGGCCGAACATGATGTTGTAAGCAGTCCTGACCACTTTGGCATGGACCGGACTACTTGCAGCCCGAGAACCAAAACTCACCGACATCAAACTTGGTGTTAGATGTGTTAGGCCGCAAATATGTACTAAGAAGGGAGCCCCTCAATGGCGAGACCTCATGCTGTCTCCCTTCTTGAATGGCGCGAGACTTCTTCAACACGACGATCCTCGAGGAAGAACGGGGAATCTCACTTAGTAAAGGGTGCCCTAAGCGAAAAATCCTAGGCCTCCTGGCCCACCATTCATTTAATAGTCTTCACTGAACAATCATGTTGGACTGACTAAGGATTTTTTAACCCTACAAAACCAGCTCAATTGTATTCAAAACGGTCTTGGAAGGCTAGGGTGTATATTGAATATGTTGTGTTCCAGGGAATACGGTTGACCCGGGGTTTTTGCACTCCAATCCTTGTAGTCAAATATATAAATGCTTGTGCGGTGCAAAAAACAGTAGTTAAATCAATGGTGGGCCAAACCAGGAAGCTTAAAATATATACAAACATAAAACAATGAGCATCCACATGTGAAGCGCAAGTTGGCTTTGCAAGCCTCTGATGATTGCAAATCCTATTCAAAATAACATGCCGGAAGCATGACTCTTGGGATTTGATGAAGGAACCAGGACAAAATACTCTCCGGAAGTGGATTCACCCACGGAATAAAAGACCTCAAGCAAGACTAGGATCAACCATCTCTTCCAGCACCCTCCAACAGCTCACCAATTGAGACCTCTTACGGCCTAACAACCCTCCAAAGGAGATGTGTTGGAGGGCGCTGGTATAGAACGCGAACAGTGGACAGTTTAGAATAGTTGCATAACCTCTTTCGGCCAAAGTGGCGAAAAAGGGTTCAGAAGAGTGGCTTCAACCCCATGTCCTTCCAGTGTTGTCTATTCCCATGGTTTTAGTTTTGTGTTTGTTGATATGTATCCCCTGTTCCAGCAGGGGCCAGGGAAACGAAACCCCCAACGGCCTTGTAAGGTGTTTTCGGTGGTCCTACAGCTGTGCTGTGTTTGTCCATCTCCCAGTTCCAGGTCCCATGCTTGACACCCAAGCGTCGGATCGCCAAAGGCCTTGGGATCGCTGAGCTTGGGGCCCACCTTCACGTAGCCGCCGCCACACTCGATGTCCTCAAGAACGTACTGTATGGTCTGTGGTGCCCCCCCGTTCTTTTGCAAGCTTGTCCAAGAAGTCTGGCTGAATGGTGGTGGTATATAGATTAGGCCCGTGACAGGGGAGAAAAAACAACAACCTACATCAACCGTCTAAGCGCAAGCTACTTCAGCAACCTGCTGAACACGCATGCCTAGCCCAAAACATGATTGACCACAAGCACAACGTTGCTCCTTCTCGTACTTGGCTTGATACTGGATAATGAGCTCCTTGCCTTCGTTGCTGAAGGACTCAAAGCCCGCAGAGAGACCAAAGAAGCGCGAGTCCTCCGCCGTCTGAATGCCTTGGTCCTCCGCCTCATCCTGCCCAGGGCATGGAGTGCATAGCTGGACCGATGGGTCTTTGGGGGGACATCTCTATACTTGGGAGTCAAAGACTATCAAAAAGAAACGTCTTTAAGGTAGCTGAAAGGGAATTTCCCTTACATCACCGAGGCAAAATATAGTCTTTCGACTTCTAGGGTTATACCTATAGGATCCTATAGGTAAGAAAGAACCGGTTTTTCCATGGTTTTCCATGCTTTTCCTGCACCAAGAGAAGCAAGAAGCAAGAAGCGAACAAGGTTCGGACATCGGAGCAGCAGCAAAACTCTCGTAGATGAGAGTTTTTCAGCCTGTAATCCCACGGAAGTTCTTCAACATTCTTGACTGGTGGCCTGACTGGTGGCCATTCTTCATCTGTATAGTTCTTCAACATTCTTCAACCACAGGGTCTTGACTGTGCAAACTCATCTAGAATCGATGAAATCCTTCACACAAGTCTTAAGTCCTTGTACCACTTGCCAGCTGAAAGCTTCCAGGTTCCTTGTGTCCCGTCGCTTTTCTTCCTGAGCTCACCCAGCGGATGGTTTTAGAACAAAACTTGAGCACCAGGAGTCACAAGACGGGGTGGTTTTTAGTCCCATCCAGTGAGTGGATGTTCTGGGCACCCCTATCCTCCAAGTTCGGCACCCCTTTGTGACTGCTGGCATATAAATCCACCTAAAATCCCATAATTACCAGTCTACATTCAGTGGATGATGGTTAGGTTGCTGGCCTTTCCATCTCAAAAATGGTGATCCCGGCCACCTGGCCACCTGCTTTCATGGGACACACCCGAATTAAACGACTCTGGAAACAAAAGAGTCCACTCTTAAAGACCCGTTCAAGGCCAAAAAAAAGGATCTCAGCCAGGATCCAGGCCGGCCCAATAGATGGCGCGCAAACCCTGCAAAATGACATCAATTCAACGCCATCTTGTTTGCAGTGAGAGTAACTTTGCTTTTGACATTAATTGAGACCTTGGGATATGATGTCCAAGAACCGGGCAAAAACGAAAACAACTTGCCGCAGCAGGGCGGTTCACCCAGTCAGGGACAGTCACAAAACCACCTCAAGACCTGGGAAATCACGGGGAGAGGAACTCTCCCGCCAGTGGAAGGCGGAGTCCGCATGCCAAGGATCCATTCACTGGAGGTCCATCGGTCCTCCCATCCACTGCCAAAAGTCTCTGAGAAGTACCTCACATCATTTCACATCAGCGAGGATCCGATCGCTGCCAGTCGACGACTCCTTCACGCAAACGACGGAATATGAGGGAGTCTGGAGAAAGCTACCCGATAAGAGTCATGGAGGTCAAGCAACAGTGCCCACTGTGGGTCTGGAGCGTGTTGTGCGACCAGTCTTGGCCAAGCTACACCTTCCCACTGGCGACGGCCAAAAGACCAAAGGAGAGCCCCGCTTTGCGCATGACGCGAGCGCTACGTCGATTCGACGGCGAAAAGGCACGGCTTCGAACTGGGCCAAAGGCTGCAAGGATTCTATGCTTTTGGTTCAAGCTATACACAGGCTGAGTCCATCAGAAACAATCATATTATTCCATCGAATCCATAACGATACATGGGCTTTAGAAAGTTCCCCCAAACCACTTATCAGTCTATTGATGTCTATTGTGAGTCTCGGTTTGTCTCGATCTTCTCACTAGACTACTGAAGGCCAACATAGAAGTCGGTAGGTCATCCCTCATCAAGGAAGATCATCTTCCATTTCCTGGGCTTCTTTCAGGGCAGGGCCAGCATAAACACCATACTGTTTTACTGATCGGTGATTTAAACTATCGAATGAACTGCGCAAACAATCCCAAACATAAACTACGGTAATTACCCTAAATTGGGAGAAGTCTCTCAGGTAGCTAAATATAACTAACACGCACAACACACAACAAAAAAACATGAAACAACAATGACACATTCTCAGTCCACCAACTGCCGCAACAAAGTCGAGTGTCTAACTATAGTAATAAGATGTAACCCAGACACTCCATGGGACTGGCATATTTACCTACATTGGGGTGGTTGAAAAGGGGTCAATGTAGGTAAATATGCCAGTCCCATGGGCCGTGTCTGGGTAATAAGAAGGTCCTCACCTTGGATCACGGTGTTCATCCTGAATCATAGGACTAGCACCTGCCAAAAGCTCCGCGTACTCCAGCTGCAGCTTTCGAAGAGTGCCCCTTAGCAGCAGTGACCAGCGGCGTCCAAACGATGCCCGCGCGATGCCCGTCTCCGCAAACGAGTAACACCTACTGAAAGCATCTGAAAGCCCATTGATTCTGGTCTCTTACGGACTCGTGTCAAGCGTGAACATCGTGCCCATCTTTTCTGTTGACTGGAGGGGGTTCGACTGGACACAATTACTTGAGGCATTGAAAACATCGCCACTCGACAGCCGGGCAGTGACGAATTTGGGACGTGTCCGTCTGTATGAGCTAATGCAGGAACGCATTCCGAGATCCAGTCAACAAACAACCACTTGAAATGCCCATGGCCCATCCAACATCTGGCTGCCTACTTGTTGGAAAGTCTCCTTGTTTGACTGCATACACCAACGCCCAGTAGATCCATGTAGAAAATTCTGACTCTCGCTGTTTTCCACCCACACAAATGTGTTAGCCTTGTGAAGAAAGAAAACTTGTCACACCCCTCCCAAGGTTTGGAGGCAGTTTGGTCACAGCGGACCATCCAAACGCCTCCGCCTCCGCGTACAAAGAAGTTTCGCCCAGGGGCTGTGATCTGGATTCCACCTCCTAAGCGGATCGGCAAGCGCATGCACTGAATGAGCATTTCAAACCTGGCATTCTGTATCTCCCCGGCTGCACACCCCAGCAACATCTAACCACCATAGTCGCGCCTATACGTCGGTCTTGGGCATGGCATGGTCAGTGCATGGCATCCATTGCCACCCGACAACCCAGTTTTGCTTAAGGCCTTGATATTTTTTGGTGGGTGAACCCCCTTCTGGCAAACAGATATTCTTTTTCACAGCTTCCTGAACACCAAATGATGCGAGAAATAACAAGATCTGGACACCAAATCCACTTCCTTCCGATCACCAGAGCGCGTGGTGACCTGCTGGTGGCCGTGGCAAACGTCTGCCATGGCAGACGCTCAGACGCTCAGACGCACCGGTGACTCGGTTCTTCACGCGTTCCACGGATGTTCATCTCAAAACACACCCTTCCCATAGACTCCTTGGGACTGAGTGTCTGGGATAGATCCGGAATATGACATACAGAAGCCGTAGGGTACGTATCCCACCCCAAACACCTTCTCAGAAGGTACTTGGAGCCCTAGGGGTACGTATACATCTCCCAAACACGACTAATGGGACTGCCGTGGGACTGCCGCCCTGACAGACCCCCCTGGCACCACCCCAACTGCACCACGTCTCGGCAGTCCGACATGGCAGTCCCATGGGGTCGATGGGCCCACCGTGCGGTGACCGTGGCCCCACCATTAAGTTCATGTGATTTCCATGATTGTGTGACTGCACAACCCGGCTGTTTGACTTATAGGGATGTGCTTTACAACACCAGGTCTTTCCCATGCGTCTTGTTCTTTCCAAACGGTCCAACCTCGTCCTGTGGGTTGGACTCCAGCTTGTTCCAGGTGTTGGACTTGCTCCATCCGAGCTCCGTGTCACTCCGTCCCAGGCGCCACCAGCTCCATCTCTCGAGCTTTGTGAAGATCACCTGAGAGCCCGGCCCCGCCCCGCTCGGACCGGACGTGACCGGACGTCATGGACATCATGTAACGGGTCAAACACAGGCTGCATTGCAAAGACCAGTGCCCAATTTCAATGGCAATTGTGGTGTAATGTGTGTAAACAATTGTACACATATGGTTTAAATATGGTGAAATGTATGCCTTCAACAATCATGGTTACGTGGATGGCATGGGCCGTGGAGAAAACAAGCAAAAGAATTGTCCACTTCCATGTTCGTGTGTGTGTGGGTGGGGGAGGGTATTGGAAGGTCAGGTGGACAACACTTGGGTTCATCGCCTCGGACTCCCCAACACTTGCACTCAATGACTCACCCCTGGGAGACCTTTTGGAGAGCTCTTGGAGAGCTCTCAAAGGTCACTTGGGTGCCCAGCTTGTGGAGATCGAGAGTGTCACAAGCTCGCTCACATGTGTCTTGCGAAGAGTTTGCGGGCAAACCGACTCTTTTGAGCTGTCAAAGTCAAGAGGCAAACACTTTTGTAGGATGTTTAGATATTACTTTATATAATGGAGGCAAACAATCTAATTAGATATGATTCATGATTCATGATGGATATGCGGATAACAAAAAAGTCTTATAAGAGGTTGTCTGGACCATACTTTCAGCGTCTTTTTCGCCTGAGGCCCGCTGGGCGCCCGCTGGGCTCCCCCGGCGCTCCTGCACCGCACCTGGGTGTCTGCTTTGAATCGGGTCTTCAATCAGATGACAACCAAACCCCCCTGCGCACCCAGTCGAGTGAAAGGGAACCAAGAAGGAGGTGCACCTATATAAGGGGGAGAGGCCACCGGATTCCCGTACAGGTTGAAACCACCCAGCCTGCTTCATGTCACATGTCGCCCCTCGCGCCCGTTGGGAGTAGGGTGGATGTCTGGAGAGACTTTGATGTCCCAAGACCTTCCAAGGAGCTGCTTGAGTCAGTGAACTAGGGATACCTCCCAGGCGTCCCGACCCCTTGGAAGAGTGGAAAACTAGACCAGTCTACTCATGGGTTGGAAGTATCCTTATTAAAATGCACACCCGCTGGGATCCCTAGGCCCCCCTTCTTTCGCAGTAACCAGGCCTGCATGGTCTCCCTGATGGTCAGCCAAGGGGTACCCAAATTCGAAGCCGGTCTGAATAAGCATCAGGTTGCCATGTGCCGTGTCTGCTGAAGAGAGGTTGAGAGACCTGAACGTTCGGACCCTGGTCTGTGGTACATATGGGATGGGCTATGGGGCTGTTCAACCTCTGTCTACCCCGATTGCTTGGACGGCTCACGTGGCGCTCGTGCCTCCGGGGCCTGAGCGGGCTGGGCCTCCCAACGCTGCAGCTCTGCCTTGAATCGATGCACTTCCTTGGGCCACTGGCCAGGTCGTTCCCACGGTTGGGTCTATATATCTGATTCTATACCAGTCCCTAGGGATCCAGTCGTACCTTCTCAAAAGGTACGACTGGACCCTCCAAACCTACATAACAGTGCCTCCAATCACCGTACCTGAGAAGGTACTTGGATCCCTAGGGAGTAACAGCGGATGATGATTGGATGGCACGGCCCTGAGTTTGGATGACCATTGTCCGAACACAAACCACATGGTGAATTCCACTTTCTGATGGTTTCAGGCCGGGTAAACAAGTGAAACCCTTGTGCACTGAAGGACCTCAATGAACGTGTTTCATGCTCATCAATGTACGACACAAGTGGCCTGGAGATGCCTGTTCCGTCACTTTCCTGATTTCCTGAAAGTCTTCCTGCTGGAGCAATTCCTAGTGAAGGACGATGCCTGGAGCCATGGACAACCCCCCACGCTGTTGGAATCACCCGCATGCATGCCGCATACCAGTTATGGCAAACATGGGCAAACAGATCTTTCACGAGGTCTAGGGGGGGTGAACATCGATCTGGGAATGGTCTAGGGGGTTGTATTCAGTATTCACCTGGCCGATGGTCATTCTAGAGTGGATCGAATCTTGGAAAATCGAAAAGCACATTTAAAAAAAAACTTAAACCTGTCATATATGTTTGGTTTGGTCATATTCTATCTATTTGAGGATGGTTGTAGGTTGATGAGCAACAGGTCAATTCAATTATCTTCCATTATCTTCCATTGCATCTCTTCGTAGCCACCGCTGCAGGGTCAATCAACTCAATCAACCCCCAACAAAGAATACACTGTCTGAAAAAGTAATGGGAGTGGAACATGGCTCCTTGGATGACCAATTTCTAAATACCAAGCAGTTGTTTTCCCACTTCCATGATGATTCCAGGGTTAATGGTCACCTGATGGTCAAACCCGTCTATTTCACTGAAGAGTTGTCTCTCTCATTCACCCTCTGAGGCCGATGCAGCTTTCTCCCACTCCAAGCCTGAAGACGTAGTCAACGCAGGAGGAAAGGGAGGGAGGGGAGGGTGGGAGTGAGGGGAGGTTGACCAAACTTGCCCTGCAGTTCTTGGCAGGCACCACTCCCAGGCAGGTGCCAGTATGGTCTATTCAGCAGACTTCTGAAGATTTATGCATGATTATATAACCCTCCCAATTTGGCAATATGTTCCCCCCCAAATCATTCACCTCCAATTTGACTATCCCAAGATCCGTGCCCAAACCAAATGACTTTGGGACCTTCTGCGATCCAAAAGTGCAAGCAAAACACATTTCGCCCACGGAAAATGCACCACATCGGGCGGCTGCAGGCCTTCCATCAAGGATCTCTTGCCATCTTCCAGAGTGGCCAGCTGCTTCCGGGATTCGGCCAATAAGAAGCTGGCCTCTGCTTCTGCCCTGCGGAAGCTGCTGGTGTGCGATGCGGATGTTCCAACTGACACAATCAAACTTGGTCACCCTCCTAGACTACTTCGGACAGCCCCAAAGTGTGGGTAAATGATGGTGGATGTTTGATAGGCTGGGAAATGACATCCTGCACCCTTGCAGGGTGGGCATGTGTTATATGTTTCCGCTGGATGTGGGTTTCGGGCTTTTCCACGTCTGTGTAGCGTGGCTCTCACCCTGAAGCCGCCAGCGGAGGGCTCTTCAGGTCTGAATACGACCAGCGCCTTCACACCAGCTGTGAAGGCGCTGGTATAGCCCATACACTCCATGTATGCCATATATGCCTACATTGACCCCCCCAAACCACCCCAATGTAGGCATATATGGCATACATGGAGCGTCTGGTATAGGTTCTTATCTGAGCGACCCACCCGCTTCGCGACCGGACTTCTCCCTGCACACGACCACCGGCCGCATCGCGGAGCGCATCGCCTGTTCTCTCGGACCGCCTCTAATAGCTTCTCCTGAGGGGAGTGCTCCAGGTACGACGCCCTTGTGTAGACAAGCTCTTATAGATCTCTTAGGGCAGAGAGGGAAAGTGTGTGTGTGTGTGTTTCTCCCACTTCTTTACAAGCCATAGGCCATAGGGTTGAGCTCGAACTTGATCCTGCAATGTTGAACACTTTTCAATTTGCACCAAGACTTACCGTCCCGTGAAACCGAATCCTTAAAGTATTGTGCATGACTCCAGGGAGCGCAAAGGCAACACCCACTCAGTGCGGAACCGATTTAGTCCAGCTTAAGTGGTTTCCCCAAGACACTCCGAGGTCCGAGTCACTCACATGGTTACGTGGATGGTACGAGCCCCCGGAGTTGGATCCTTGTTCCGAGGTATTTTCCACTTCCATGGGCAGTTGGAGGGAGGGTACGGCGTTTTGGCTTGATTTGCGGGTGCCTCAGCCATCTGCAGGCGCTGGCGCAGCTGATTCGCTGCCTTGCCTGAGACAGGAGAGGGAATCAAACTGAGGCCACTTTGGCTAACCCACATGATGTACCTGCATACTGTGCAACCAGCTACCCACAAAACCCGTATCTCCTCCAAGGAAACAGGGACGATCTTCCAAAGAAAGCCAGACCCGCAAGTTAAAAACATCAACAAGCTGCTAGTCATCGTTCGCCTATGCAACATACATCCAAATACATCTGACCCCGTATGAAGAGTTCCAAAACCTCCCCACGTCGAACCCATATCCACTTCCTTCGTGGACTCGCCGCTCCTCGCCTTGTTCCGCAGCTTCCCACTGCCACTGCGCCTGCACGATCCATCGATGCGTCGATCGGCACGGGTGACGCAGAAAAGCAGCCCAGCGCGTACGCCGCCGCGACGGGACGTGGGGCTGAAGAAACGACGGTTTTCGGGAGGGGAGGTGTTCTCGAAAGAAAAGGGCACCACATCGGTATAGATGGGGTCTATCCGAGTCTACCTGGGCCCAGTGGATGATGATTAGGTGGCAGGCCTTGTTCAAAAATGGCGATGTTCTTGTTTACTGACTGTTGCAGGTAAGTTCGGACAGGCCTAAGGTATATAGTTCACTTCTGGGAACTTCCGGTGACAAAACCTGAAGTAAGATGTTGGGTTTGGAAGTGGAAAACCACTGGTATCCACTGGTGCTTGTGTGTGAGTGGTCCTTTTTTTGGGGGGGCATTTTTTGTTGAATGAATTGAGCCAGGGCCCATTCGTTTGGTTTGTTTCTTCTTGAGTTTGCTTTGTTTCTTCTTAGTTTGTGCAACATGCAAAGTGATGAATTGTCCTAAGAATGAATTCTCTTGCGCACCCAAATGACGGGACCGTTGCGTCTCGATGCACATGTGCGAAATGTCCACGATTCTATCTGATCGGACTTGTGGATCACTACACTCTGACGAACACATCAGAGAGTAATGGGGAGAGCATGGGCCCGCAAAGGAACACGACTTTCCTTTACAAAGAGGTGACCAGTGACCAGTGCCCCTTCCACCGTGATGTGTTCGTCAAGTCGAGTTTCCTTTCATCCCCTTTTCCGTCCCGAAGCCGCCACAGTTTTCTTCTCGTTAGGTGCGGACCGCGGGCGTCTCCTGTGACGACCTTTACAACATCGTCCCTTTACAAAATCGCCTCCCTCCATGCATTCCACGGGGAGACTAGTGCCAGCCGAACTGTGGACGTCCATACATCCGACCCATCCTTTTGGACATCGGTACTTTGTTCGCCCAAACGGCAGGGCAACAAAAAGAAAAGGCAACAAAAATAGCCCTGCACAGGTTATTTCCTCAGGGCATTCACCAAAAACGTATGAAACAGCTTATCCGGCAAGGATTCGAATGGAAATTCTTAGATCTCCTCAGTCACTTTCGCCTCTGCAGTCGGTGTCTCTTGTGTACTCTTGGGAGTCGCAGCCAACTGGAACTTGGCCGTGGAGGGTTCGGATCGATATAAGAAAGCAAAGATCACCTGAAGAAGCGGGTGGTGTCACAAGTTTCTGCTTGGTGGTTTCAACTGACGAACCAGACGTATATGTCAGACTTTGAGTCTTAAGGGTTCGATCATCCCAAGTGAATGGTTGAAAATACACACCCCAAGAATCAAGGACCCCAAGAATGCCGGTGAATCTCTGGTGAAGGAGTCCGGGTCTTCGCAAAGATGCAGGAGTCCAGGTGTCTTTCAGTTCGTCCAATGATGCTGAATTATGGTATCTGAAGAAGGTAGAGGCGGGTGTCCAATACATGTTCTACATGGGGATCTACGAACATCTATCTATGACACGGGGGTCCGGGCATATCTGGAAACCCCCGAGGTGATGCAACGACGACTGGTGGAGCAATGGTGTCCGCAGCTTGGTCCGAGGTAAAGAAATGGAACACACCAATCATCACCAATCTTAACCAGCTGCCTGGGCTCTCAAATACACTACCCCCTTTTGGGGGCTGAAGGTCATACAAGAACACATTGATGTACCAGGTAAAACCTGGGACTGGATGTAAAAAGACGACGGTGATGTCGATGAATTTTGGCAGGTGCGTGACCATCAAGATCACGAAGACATGAAAGAGCGCGTTGGCATTGAAGGCAACTGGAAGAACGCCTCAAAAGCATCAACGAACTGTTCGAATGACAAGCGGGTTGGTCGACAAATCCTCGCACCACTTTATGACATATAATTTTGATATATATTTATAATACAAAATACAAAAATGAAGACCTCCATGGGTGCTTGCATCACTGCTAATTATGAAATAAAGTTAACATGTTCAGTATCCGAAAACATATCTTTTGGCAAACTATAGCACACCCGCAGCAAGAAAAGGAACGCACGACCTCGCTTCTTGTGGGGTGGACACCTAGCTTTTTAGACTCCTTTTCCCTTGAACAAAAGGTTAACCTTGTTCCATCTGACTGCCAGAGGTGGGTCAGAACCCTATACAGTAGACTATTCTATACGTATCCCTAGTACTTCGGTCACTTCACCTCCGGTGACTGGGACACTTGACTTCGGACCCGAAGTCACCCTCCCAGGTGCGGAACACGGCGACAGGCACGGCTGGACAGGCACATGCTGCTCCACGACGGCTGGAAGGGGAAACATGTTCCATGTTCACCAGAAGGGGGGGGTTCACTCATAATTCATATAGGGAAAATATGGTTAACATGATGGACCATGAATGAACATGACACATCCTCCTAAGCAAAACCAGGGACCTGTTCAGACCATCGTTAAAGAAAACCAAGGCACCCGACAAGAGCAGCAATGTAAGGCTTCCGTTGATGTACATGCCGGCACTGACAACGCCGTAGGCGATTTGCCAGCGGAAGCCGTTCTGCCAGACGTCCACGAGGAGGACGAGCACCGTGAAGGCTGAAGAGATCCTAGACATTCGAGCATCGTTCGTTTCCCGTTTTCGAAAGGCTACTGGCTTTTGAAGGTGATGTTCGCCATAATCTAAGTGGCTGTGATGTTTTTCTATAGGGGGATATATAACCCTAGGGCTCCAAGTACCTCCTTACAAGGTGTCTGGGGATGTTTGGGGAGGGTTTGGAGGGTTCAAATACCTTCTGAGGAGGTACTTGGAGCCCTAGGGTAACTTAAAATCACCATGGAAGTGGAGTTCGCCACCTGGACTTGGTCTTCGCAAAAAAAAGGCATCCAACAGGCCATTGCCCTGTTTGACGTACCCATGTGTTAGGGCATCACAGTGCGTGCATCTGTAGTTACATCTGTTTACATCTACTTCTCAGTTGCAAGGCTTCCAGCCCTCAGTTGCAAGGCATCCAGCTCTCAGTTGCAAGGCTTAAAGCCCTAAACAAAAAAAAGTGCGGAGAAAAGAATAACATCATTCCAAGCCTTCCCATTCCAAGGCTCATGATCCAAAATCCGGTCATCATTCCTGATAATTCCAGCTCTAAAGCAAGGAAGAGTGCCGCTTCGACCACTGCCAGGATCAAAGCGAGTAGGAAAAGAGTGAGGATCACCATCCAAGACCATCGGTATTGAGCATTCTTCACCTGAGTCAACTGGATGTCAGAATCAGCTTATACCAATTTCTACCAGATCCCCCCTGTTTGGGGCTTCTATTCATAGCCCCTTGGAGGTGATTCGGGCTGTCCATTGACCACGCCGACAGTGGGTCCTGATACTTATATGTATACATATATATATATAGCCTGGGAGTCAAAGACTATAATAAGAATGGTCTGACTAGGGGACCTGAGTTCGGGAACTTCCTTTACTTCAGACAGTCAAAATATAGTCGAACTGGACTTCTAGGGTATATGAATATATGTATATATGTTCCATCCAGGGTCTTTGCAGGGAGGATTTTTGTTGGGTTTGTAGTTGCTTGCACCCCAACTCCACGTCCAAACCTTCCCAACCACGTCTGCTTACTTGGGAAACGGGTGACGGCCATGCTGGCCAAGGCCGCTGGAGAGAAGGGCGTCACCAGCAGGGCCACGAGCCATGCATACATCCACTCCTCGGAACGATCGCTAGAAGGGCCGAGTGAAACGGCTCCCTGGTTTTCATGGGGGAACAGGATAGGGACAGATGGTCGTGGTTCCCGGATCAAAAAGCATTAAGAAGCCAGTCCTAAGCACAGGATAAGTGATCTGTGGTCCCCCTTTCGTTGCTTGAAACACGAAGGTGTCCCCCAACTCTACGACTCTACGCGCCTAGACTCCTAGACTCTAGACCTACCTCTTGCAGCTCAGTATTCACAACACCTCAGCAAAGAGGGTATTCGTCACCATGGGAGAAGGATATTTCCTGGGTGCCAAGTGCTAAGTGGACAGACATAGATCCTGCAACCATTGACCCAAACATCCGTCCAACTCCCGACTGGACCCCTTCAAACCGATTCTTCCCATGTGTCCCATCCCACCATCCCGTTGCGCAAGACCGTCCTGTACTGTGCAGTTCCTAATGTCCAAGGTATACCATTCATCAGGCTCCATCGAACACTGCCTACTATACATTTTCTGGATGAGCTTGTACGCATGGAGTCGAAAAATGACCGGTGACCTCATAAAGGCCATCAGTGCCAAGAAACATTGTTCTCTTCGGACCATGTGGAGCCGCAGAACTCTCCTCGCGAGCAATCGCTGGATTCTGTGGGGGTTGGGGGGCTGGGTCTAATTCCAGTGGTTGGACATGTTGGTTCACTTAGTGTCGATGTGTAAAAGAAAGCTACGAATTGTAGTTACAATTAGTTGAAGTATGTTGGAGTATAGACACTTGCAAAAAGAAACTGGCTGGAGTAGGGGATGAAAGCAAAGTTTCTGTACTAGGGTGCGGGGCCAGGCCTCCAAAGAAAACCTCGCAAAAACCTATAATTGACTTCTGCTGAGATTCTGATGATTCTGCCAAAGAGCCTAGTCTCTAGACCCGTACACTGCCCTAAAACCATCTAAAACCTGACACCAGTGGTGTCGATCTGGGGTGGAAAGAAACGGCTCAGCTCGTCAGCTTTGCGAGCTTTGGGAAAATCTCTCCTTCTTTCTCCACGAAGAAGAGCAACATGTGTGACACTCCACCTCGGATGTGCTCCACAAACGCTCACCCACCTGGCAAGCCACTGATCCACCACATGGATCCACATGGAACCTCTTGCCCAGGCGTTTGGCCCCGCAAATTCCCAGGATAAAAGATCCGGAAGCACCGCCGGCTGAATGAGCCACCACATTCCCAACGGCATCTAAGGGCCACCTTCCGTGAACGTCACCTGGACCCACTACCTGCCGTGGAGATCGGATCTCTTGTTCGCGTATACGGAACGTCAAAAACGCCGGGCAAACGGAAAAATGCCCCACACCCCCCCCCCCCCCGCCGAGTTCTCTACTCCCCACCTCATTAGGGTAACAGAGGGAAATGGTACTCGACACACTTGTGTGTCGGTGCCTTTCCCTCTGTTGTCCCTGTTCTAGTCTACTCTACCCGGGCGGTTTAAGACTAAAGTCCCGCTCCCTAACTATTGCACCTAATGTTTCTGCTAAGTAATCGGTAACTCTAGAGTGCTAAGTATTCAGACACACACACACATGCACACACACCCCCTCCCTGCCCCCGCTTTCTTTCTTGCGTTTTTCGTCGTTTCTTGGGCTTTCTTTCAGGCTTTTCTAGGTGGTTCTTGAGGCTCGTTTCCCTGCTCCAGTCAAGGGCTAAGTATTCACCTTTTGCTACACCTATCTTTCTCTCCTGCCCTTTTAGCGCAGCTCTTTCTGTTTTTCTTTCTTTTCTAAGGCTTTTTAGGTGCCTATTTAGGTTTTTGCGCCAGAGCGCCGCAAAGCGGCTGAGTGTGTGTGTGTGTGTCACACTCTGTTTCCAAGAGTTTTTACACGCAGGGGGCCGGAGCCAGGTGGGGGGTCTCCGGCCAACGAAGACACCCCCGACCTGGGTGCAAACGTACCTGCGATCAACTGTTGTCCAAGCTGTTCTACTCTTTTTTGCTTTCATGGTGGTTTTGATGATACGTCCCCCAAACCAGGTTTCCATGCACGGCGTTAATTCGGTCTGCTAAGTAATCAGTAACTAATTTTCTGCAGTCATGCATCACGAAAAACACTTCTTTTTTTCAAACACCTTCAAGTGATTGGACGCTTCACCTTGCCGTTGAGCCCTTCCTTTTCTCGGGAAATTGAGTTAACTGAAAACCCAATGTCAAAGTGTGTGTGTGTGTGCATATTGTGGATGCCCAACTGGATACCCATATGTCATGGGGGAGGTGGGTATTTACTCACAGCCCACGCTCGTTGCACAGCCCCACAGCTCTACCCGCTCAAGGCACCCACGCCAAAACCCAAACCCGTCGAGATCATCAGGAGGAAGAAGAGACCGCTGCCACTCCGCCGTTGCATGGCTGCCACCACACAGCACACGATGCATACCAGCAGGATCACCTTGAATGGACGAAGGTCCAAGGGCCTTTGAAAGATGTTCCTGTCATGCTATTGGCGATGTAAATCCATGTATCAAGCCCTCTAGGTGGTGATGGAAAGCAGCAGTTGACTCTGAAAAATGAATGACCGTTTACCATCGTATACCGTGTGAAGCTGCAACTTTGAACAATTCTCACCAAATACATCCACGGCATCAATGTGAGCTGATTGGAGTTAGATCTCACTATCTCGCACCTTCTTGCAAAACGCCGAGAGGACAAGCACGGCAAAACCCTTGATGTACTGATCTTCACTTTTCACCCACAGCCTTCACACCCTCAGTTTCCCTGGAAAATCAACAATTTTTCTACCTATTGCATTTGAGTGTAGTATTCCAATATTTTTCAATATAGATCAATAATATAGTATGACTTATAGTATGGTTTCCTTTCTCCCCTCCCACCCCCAAAAAAAAAGAGGTTGGGGCATCCCACGGGTCATCCACGCACCACCCCAGGGTCTTCCAACCCACCAGCCGACGTCTCCCCAAGTCGCATAGTCGGTGGCCCAGCCGGGAATGGTCGTACCCCACAGTGTGCCTCGAACGGCGCCGGGGGAGGTGTGCTTCTCTTGGGGGGAACAAGAAGCTACTAGTAACTAGTAGCTAGGACGTGATGGACGGTGGAGGCCATCCCTAGTCGGTTGGAGGCCATCGCTACTAGGAACAATGAAGCTACTAAAAACAAAGGGCATCGCTACTAGGAGCAAGGACGCTATGCAAAAAGACCCATGGGGGGGGGAAGAAAACAACTGAAGCAAAACCATTCAAGAGCTGCTTTGGATTGGTTTTGCATGTTTATTTTATTATCGAAAACGGGATTGTTCTATAGAAGGAAATCTACAGTAATTGCAGGACAACTTTGGTTTTCATCAGAAGTCCACTTGGCACATGTTCCTGCAGTTAGACTACGCAGTCTCTTTTTCATGTCTGATTCACAAGCCCAAGGTGCAAGACATCCTTCTCAACCTCAGCTGAGGTGCATTGTTTTGTCTCCTGCTTCTGTCTGATATCGGTGATTGCAATTTGGGTCACCAAAGAACTCTCCTACAAACAAGATCGCGCCTGGCCATTGTGCAGGCCAAGAAATGTTTCGACATGAGTCTTTGAAGGCCTTGGGGAGCGTCTTAACCCTGGGTGATGTTGCTTAGCTGACCCCCCCCGCCGCTAGGTTGTTCGTTGAGGCCCGGGGGTTGGCCCATGTTCACAAGCATTGGTGACCTGTAGTCGGGTCATGGGACCACTTTCCCAAGCACTTTAGGCCTTCGTTCTCTACATGTGCCTGGATCTGGATCTTCCAACTGTGACCAAGTTCCGCCTTTTTTCATGTTTTATCCATGAACAACTGCAGCAAACCGGCATCTTTGGAAGATCCAGCTATGTCTCCCCCACGCCTTCCCGCGGATACCCCACCGGTAAGGACGACAGGAGCGGTGGGTTCTTGAA